GGCAAAGCAATCTACTGGGACCCTACCCACCCACCCCAACATATCAAAATTAAGTTTTTCAACTGGAAAATTTGCGCTGTCTCATTACAGAAATTGCTTTATAATTGGTTGAAAGTCTATTAATTGGTTAATAAAATTTTGATTTTTTTTTTCACAATTTGCTGCAAAATATTTTCTATGCGTCATGGAGCTCTTTTAGCCGGTAAAGCGCTTCAGTTTGGGCATGTTATGATGTAACGTGTCTACCAATACGATGTAGGATTAACGTTATTTACGTGACAGTTTTCAATTTAAGTGTTGTTGATGTTATGCTTTAGTTGTCTAATGCGGAATAGTTCAGGTTTATAATAAATTAGATTTGCACACTTATTATGAGGTATGTTTATTTTTAGATTGATATCGTTTTATTTAACAATTAGGTTAGCTTGAGTTTTTCATACAGATTTTGGTTTCACTTTAAAAGTTTTTAACAGTACCAGAGAAATTGATTTGGATATTGAAACTTTTACTTTTAAGTAATTTTTTAAAGTGTTAGTGTTACTGTTAGTCGCAGTGATAATAATACGAGTGATAGTATACTGTATAGTAATAACTAATATTACTAATACTAATAATAGTATTACTAACAATAATAGTACTACTAGTACTACTATAGTTTGTAGTGAAAGTAGCTGCATTGAGAATGCCGTAACTTGAAGTATCACATAGTACACGAATTATTTGATAACTTGGATAAGTACTTGACAAATGACATATGATTTATTTGGAGTAAGTGCAAGTTAATGCATTTACTCAGATTTGGGGTATCATAATTTGGAGCAATGTTCAATATAGGTGGGAATTCATACAATAGTAGGAGTAGTACTCTGAGTAGTTATACTCTCGCTAGTACTAGTACAACTTTTGAACTTGAAGTCTTTCTTATTCACATACTTCTAAGTTATAGTGAGGTATTCAATGGATGTTGGCTTATAAAATTGAGTCCTTTTAACTTACATTCTTTATTTAAAGACACGTTGTGATTGAATTTGTGGATATAGCTGTCTGATAACTAAAAGGCTAAAAATAAATAATTAAAACACTCAAATGATCAATGTTTAAGCACACAATTTAAAAACTATTCTCAGTATGAAAACAGACACTACTTGTTTTGATGTACAATCACATCTTCCTTGAAAGTGTAAAATCAAATTGGTAGGAATATGTTTTTTAGTTATTTAAAGATTAAAATTGAAAACAAATTTTGAAAACATTATTCAATGTTTGATGAGATAGATCAAATGAAAATTTTATTTCTACCGAATGGCTGAGGTTTATAGTGTCAAATTTTTTGGAAATTTAAAAACAAAATATTTTTTTTATTTATCAACCTTTGATTATAATTAGTTTAATATTAGATACAACAAATACAGTGGTTAAGACTAGTGTTGGAGTTGAACATTCACAGTTTGTTAGGTGTGATGAGTGGAATGAGTGGGTTTTATTTGGGAACTCTGGACTGGTATGTACTTTTAGGAAAGCTAGTACTAGTAGTAAAAATGTGCAATTTGTATGTAGAGTTTGTAGGTTGGAAGAGAAGGTTGAAGCTATCCTAATTATAGTTGAGTCAATAGATAAAAAGAAGAGTAAACTGTGGGAAATGCAGCAAGATTTCAAGAGAAGTTTAACTTTAAGCTTTTATATGCAAAAGAAACATCAGCTAACAATGACTTTCAGGAAGTTAGAGTACTATTAGGGCTAAAAGTATATTGGATTTAATTGTAATGAGCCTATTCTACTGAGCAACAGATTTTGGCCCTTGGATGGAAGGAAAATAAAAGGGTCAGAAAA